AAAAATTTCTTAGCAAACTCTCATGGAATCTTTGGCAAGCGGACAGACAAACACCACTTCAAGTCGTTGGCGTCGTATAGCTTCCGATTAAAAGTAACTCAACTATTACAAGTATCTCTGCATACGTTGTAAAAGATCTTTGTACGTCATGTTTATTAGGAGTTGATTATATTAATAAATATAAATTGAAAATAGACGCTGGATCACAAATTGTCACTATTACTAATGGAAAAAACGAGATCACTACTAATATTATCAGAAATTCAGATTCAATTCGATTTGCAGTTCGTCTAATAAATTCTGTCGTTATACCACCATATGAAAATCAATCTGTTCCAGTATTCATCGATATATCAAAAGCTTCGGCGGTTTTCTACCATTCATTTAATTTTAAACAGCAAAGTCCTGTTGTTTTACCCATGCATCAAAAAAAAATCTAGTATCGCCCGATTCATCTAGATTACTAGATTTTTACTCGATTGCAACTACTGTGAAACGACAGTGGAAATCTAGTAATTGGGCGATTACTCGATCTTTTCTAGTTACACCTATCCATTTATCGCCCGGTAATCGATCGATTCATCTATTACTAGATGCGCCTGCAGACGCATCTAGTTAAAAGTCCCTTTTCCAACTAGTAATCTAGATGACAACTAGTCGTGTATCGCCCGATTACAGAAGAAATGTATCTAGATTTTTCTCAGAGGTGATATTTGCTTGGGTATGTAATAACATACTTGAAATAGAGCGTTATCATACTTCAGTTTGGATTCAAAATCCTTCTTCGTTTCCACAGTATTGAGCAAAGGGTTTAGTTGTTGGCGTTGTTCGATTACCAACTTCATCAACATCTTCTTGCGCTTCGACAAAGGAAATAAGTAATGTTTTTAATAAATCCATTGCATGGATTAACATCGACAATCTTTTAAATCACCTTAGCGACGATTCATAAAATGATAAATTAAAAGAAACTTGTCTTCGTTATAAAAAATTTTTTGATACATCGAAACCAACAGTCGCAAACACTAGCATTTCACATGCTATTAATACAATCGACCATCCACCATCTTGTTCTAAACCATATCCTTTGTCACATAACAAGAGAGAAGCACTATATAATATTATTTCTTTTTTAGTCGATTCCGGTCACCTTCGTGAATCACATTCACCTTATTCGGCACCTGCAATTCTTATTGATAAAAAAGATAAGAGTTACCGTTTACATACATGGGTATTTTGGGTTTATCTTCCATATGGTTTGGACTATAGCAAGTCTAAGGATACCACTCGATAGAGTTCGTCGAGTTCTACTTGAAACCGGGCTGGAACAGGTTGGACATGTTCCTAAACGAATATGGGAAGGTTTTACTCGAATATGGTGCTGACTTCACCTACGTTACAAATGCTGAAGCGAGTCGTTCAATTTTAATGCCAAATCCAATATTTTCAAAACCTGGTTTAGATCCAGCTAGAATGGCCATTTTCAAAGGTAATTTATATAGTTTTTTTACTGCTATAGATATATTTTGATTTTCTAAAATTTTTTTGGATCTTTATATTGAGAATGAAGTTGAAAAAGTGAGACAGGTGCGCACGTTTGGGAAATAATGAGTGAAACGTGTTTCGTGGATCGAACTCTTGTTTTTTTCTGTCGAAAATCGACTTATCTAAATTAAAAGTTGCTTTTGCAAACTTATTTTTGGGCAAAAAAAGCAGAAAACACCTATAAAACTGAGTTTGCTCGATAGTTCGTGCTTTATGAGTAGTAAATAGCGCAAGACCTAAAAATCTAGCTACTTAGGCGGCGAATGCAGTTCAGAAGCCTGGTTCAGAGCAGTACTTCTTCCCCGTTGTCTAAGAGGAAGTGGGTGAAGAGAGGGATATCCATAATATCATATAACTGTATTTCACTGCAATCGAAATGTGAAAAAACTCGGAGATACCGATCTTATTGTATAAAAGACACGCGAAGTATAGCTCCCCAGCATGTATGATATCCGACCGAATAAGGATTCTAACGCTACTCATTATTGTTCTGTTTTATTTTCTGTTTTTTCTTGTAGATGCTGTTAGTGCAAAATTTCAGGTTTCTCCTACTCATTGGAATACATTTTTACAGATTGTTTCCGTCGTACACTTACACAATTGATTTGTGATGCTAGAATAAAGTATAATCGAGAATTATGTCATCGGCAGATACAAACAACAGGTGATCAAGTGACAACAGTTTTAATCATTTACTCCCAGTTCTGAACCGTCATCAAATGTACATTTTTTTATATTTTTGTTTTGGTCATTATTTTTGTTGAACAAAATTACAAGTAAGTTTTATTTGTACAGTAGGATTACATTTAGAAACCGAACTTTATTTTTGAATCTTAAAATTTTTTTTATCTACAGGGTGCTCTTTAATTTTTCTTCTGTATATGTGGTTAGAAGTATTTCCGCTTTCATAGATACTTTTGTTCTTCGTACCATTTTTTTTGTCTGCTCAAACAGCGACTTTGTCTGTGGTGCTCTTTTTGTCCTGTATCCTGTACTTCGCTGAATACTTTGTAACCGGTTATTCAGAAATAAACGGACTTTTTTAATTTTGCTATAACTTAACTAGTTTCAAGAAGTCAAGTTTACGAATGGTGCAAAATGATTAGCAAGACGGCGAATTCAGCTATCGTATCCTCCTGGTCGTACACGTACTGCGAGATAAAAAAAATGGTTCAGAAAGTCAAAAGTCGACTTAAACGGAGCGTCATCATCTCCAACAGAAACAATTTTAAAAAGTTGTGAAAGTTGGACCAATCGACTGCATCGTTAAAAAAAATTAACGGAAACTATCTTTATTAATAAAAATATACTTTTTGTAGAGAATTTCAAGGGGAATCTAATAAAAAAAAATGAAGGCGATTGGATAAAAACTGACAAAGTTACAGCAAAATTAAAAAAGTTCGTTTATTTCTGAATCAACCGTTAGTTGTAAGGAACTACTTTGATATATCGAACCGTTTTTCGTTATAATTTTTCCAAAAACGTGTTTTTGAGTTCTCTCTTAACTTTTTTGTGTTAATAAGTAGGGTTTTTTCTGCTTTACTGAAAAGCTAGTAGATCCTAGTTTTGTTAAGAAAAAAATAACTGTTATTAACTATTTGTCTTCGTGTGTTTTTCTATGTGATTTGACGATATGAACAATAAAGATGTATATAATAGTAGTATACGATGTGTTACACAGTGTGAATGAGAAGGTACCGAATAATCTGCAGGCGGGAACAGGAAGCTACCAGTAGTAGGAAATTGCATAAAATCCTACATAGGATCCTTAAGATCTTATGAAGGATCTGAAAGGATCTTACGGTAGGAAAGTGTAGGATATATCCAAGACAAAGAAGTCTTACGTCTTTCCTACAAGATACTACGTGGATTTGGTAGGATCCTACGTAGATCTTGTAAGAATCTTGTAGGATCCTACGGTAGGATTGTTTGACCTGGGTACTTGTGTAAAATACACATTGAGAATGACTGTATAGCCTGCACACTGAGATTATTAAACTAAGAATTATTACACAATATATACTATCTATGAAAATAATTCGATTGCTGCGCAAGGCATTTTTCTCACTGCTCGTACTCGCTATTTTTTTTGGAGCCATATTTGCACATAAAATAAAATAAAGTAAATAAGTAGAGTCTGAAATAACAAAACAAGACTAAGATGAAAAGCGGTAGGCAACAAAAAGACTTCAAAATACGGTTTTTAACCGTTAAGCGTAACCTTAACCATAAATAACCGGTCGAACGGTTAACCGTAACCGTCAATAACCGCTTTATAGCAACTTAGTGTATACTTGGTTTTTAGTTCGTTGATATCGGTTTACATTAGAAGTAGATAAAGATGGTCTTTGTTCTGACGTTATAGTGCACTTACTAATAAATCTATGAAAATTCTAGGGAATAGGTAATCGACTATGAGGAATCCCAAAATGAACATGAGAGACTTCTAGGACGTATTCTATTGGTCAGAAACGTCCTGTCGCATTCCGAGATCTCACAAACACACTATTCGAGGAGAGGCAAGGACTACTTGTCCGCTTATCATGAAGGTTTCGGTCAAACACTTCTTTCGTACAACGGGCGGTGGATAATGAGAGTGAGCCATGGAAGTCTGGAACCCTAGGCCCGTAACGAAATCTCTTAAGAAACACGTTTTTGTGTCGACGTGCGATTACTGCACTCGTGACTTTCAATGCTATTTTCGGTACCAGAGTCGAATGTCTATTCTGTTTCATTTTCATCTAGTCAAGTCGAAAGCACGTTTCTGATCAACAGAATGCGTCCTAGAGGTCTCTCATACTCATTTTCGGATTCCTCATAGTCGATTACCTATTCCTTAGAATTTTCATAGATTTATTAGTAAGTGCACTATAACGTCAGGACAAAGGCCACCTTTGTCTACTTCTAATGTAAACCGACTTACTCGCTCTTCCCTACGATTCTCACTCCTAACTGTGATGTCTCAATTGATATTTTCTCTACTTCAATATTCCCTTTTTTTCCAGACTACACTCTTTTCTCACTTAAGTATTAACGTCAGTCATGTCGAACACACGACTTAAACTGGAATTAACATTTTCATCCAATACGGTTGCGACTTTCTCACTTAAGTTTTGCAGTGTGGACAAGGCCTAATGTGATAACTGTCTGGATTTTGTTCTCTATCATTATCAAAATAAAGAGTTTATATAATATAAAAAACATGTGGTCCGTCAGGACAGACAAGCGTCTGATTTGTTCTGAAATAAGCGATTCCAAAATTAGAGACTCTAAACTACTGCTATTTAGTTTTTGCTATAAATCATTTAGCTGACTGACTCTGCGGAATCAAAAAACCGCAAGTGCTTCCGGATTTAACTTCCGAGAAGTTGTTGATTTTGAGAACTCCGGTTATTTCGATTCTTCGAAAATTCGATTTCGATATTCCGACAGATCGAATTAAAGTCAAAACTTATTCTCTAGAAACAAAGCGCAATATCTCCGATCTCTCGGAAATATCGATGGGTTTAGAGAGATCGAAATAGTCATCAAGGCTTCGAAAGGTATATCAGTGGATAAAGAATTAAATTCTCTACAAAATGCACTATTGACTTTGTCGAAACAATCTTAAAAAACGCATTTTGCACACTAAACAAGTTTTTGCTGGTTTTTGCCGAATTCGAAATGGTACTTTTTTTGGGACAATTCTACGAAAATCAAAAACATTTTTCCCACCGTTCTTTTTTGCTTAATTTGATAGAGGGTACTCGATTGCATAAGGCTCCGTGCAGATCAAGTTTTAGAAGTCTTTTTTTTTAAGTCTTTTTTACCGGTCGAAATATAACGATAAAATACACCGCAAAAGAAAGCAAAAAATGATGTAATTCCGTCACGGAGGCATTTCGCTTGTTTCTTTTCATTTAAGCATTTTGAGTGAAAGTAAAGAGGTGATTCGAAAGCTCTTTTCATGCTCTACAACTTTTATATTAGACTTTTTTTCTGAGTATATTTCGTTTCAGAGCATTTTTCAAAGTTTGTAGAGCACGGAATAACATTTTTTCAACTTTTGGGCTCTGTTTCTCCTCAAATATTGAACAAAAGATGACGAAATTTATATCAGAGACATGCGGTAGAATGCTTGGTTTGTGGTAAAAATTTCGAATGCGTCGGTTAAGTAGGTGTCGTGACGGAATTACATTTTTTTAGCCTTTTTTGTCACGCTCGTTTAAGCCGTGTAGAGGATTGGAAATTTAAGTTTCGGTGGGCTAGTCGTTTTGAGGAAGTGGAATTCCGATGGGGCGCGTTCCCTCGAAAAATATTTTGATCCCTCGGGCAGGGATATTCGGAAACTTAGGATCCCTCGCCGCACCGAGCGAATGAGGTTTTTTATCTGCTTGGGCATCTACACTTGAGATTTCTTAGTCGTGTATTAAAGCAAACTATGAACATGTAATGTGACAACTATTCACTTCGGACTGTATTCAAGATTCGGTCTGTATTTCATCGAAATAACAAAAACGTTTATATACAAAAAAATGGTCCTTCACCGTTCTTTTCTCAGAATTCACAGTGAACACAAAAATAGTTAAAAAAGAGATAGCATTGCTGATTTGAGTGTCACGTCAGCTATCTATGCAGCCATCAGCCAAATGATGCGCGAGACGTTTTTGAGGTTGCTCAACGTCTCTCATATTAATACCTTTGGTTATTCTATTATGGCTCTATATTTTCGTTCAACTATTTTGTTACTTATTACAATTTCAAATAGGTTGCTGAGAGAAAGTCGATTACTGTTACTAGGTTTATACTATGGTTCTTTTACCTCTTTTCTGGTTTCAGTTATTCTTGACGTGAAAAAATAGGTTTTATCTTAGTCTTAGGTTATTTACCTTAGTCACGTCGAATTTTGTTGCATGCATATCCTGTCGGTTATCATTTACCACCTTCATTGCTATTCTCTTTCGTCCTGTTATTTATTTCCTATGAACATTCTGTGAGTAATCTTTATTCTTTTAAAAATAATACTTCATTTTAACATTAGTACATAGTTTTTTCAATAACTAATTATATAGAAAAAGTACTATCGGTCTCGTAACAGAAAACTAGTCAGTTTGTTCGTAAGTGGCTCAGTTGTCATTGTTTGGTGATTGCAATTAACAACAAAGGTTAAAACATTCAAGTGCACAGAAAAAAGCAAAAGCACCAACAATACCGTTCAGTATACTAAAATAAAAAGGATAGAATATGTCATACAATCTTATGTTGCTCAAAACGAAGCTTTACTTACGCATGTCCTATACCACCGCCACCACGAAGACGCTGTAGCTCTGGCCCTTCTGTTGATGGTAGCGGTTCAATTTTTACTTCATTCACTGGTATTTTTGGTTGTTCTTGTATGATGACTTTGTCTTTTTGTTCTTGTTCAACTGGTTCGATAACATTTTCAGTTTTTTCCATTTATAGCTGCACACAAAGCAAATATTTGGTAGAACGAAACGAATGCTTTTTTTTCGAACTTACGGGATTTTGTTTTCACTAAGTGTATTCAAACACGTTTGCGTTAACTAATAGCTCTTCATCAGAGTCATACGAAACTTAGTCAGGCATATCTTCTTCTTTAATTTTAACATTGGATGTTGCCCACCTTTTTCACTCCTCTATTCTTTGATTTCTAATGTGTATTATGTTAGACAGCAGAACATATGATGCGTAGTCAAATACAGGAAGAAGATGAAAGAAAAGTACTTACGAGAATACCTTCTTATCATTCATTTATGCACCAATCGATCGGGGTATTAAGATTGTAAAAAGCCAAAACGGATTCATTCCCTCGGCTCTTCCTTTACACGCTTGTATCTGTGGACTTGCCGCGCATTTCACAGCCACAATAAAACTCGGCACAAAGTATTTCAAGCTCAACGACATGTATCCGAGCGGAGTTCATGCGTACGACGGTGCCGATATTGTTGAAACCGCTATTTATACTTTGTTAATCTAAAACTTCTAAGAAAACAAAATAATCTTATCTCAGCATAAACTAATTAAATTATCAAAGAAAGTATTCTCCTTCTTTTAGCCTTATCTTTAGCTTTGCTTTAGACCCAGTCCATATTACTTCAACCGTTCAATGTATTATATATATCAAATATTTTGCAATACGCAAACATAGAATCGATTAATCCTTTTTGAGTAACATGCATGTCAATAATGTGTACGACGCGTACCTCTGATTTTCTTTTTCAATAAAAGACTGAAATAGACATTCACAATAAACATCAAATCATCTGCCACTCAACAAAAGGGCACATATACGCGTACGACCACAAGTAGACCGTAATTAAACATCAGTGTGACAAAAACAGGTACAATAATATGGCACGAACAACCCAAGCGTGTATTTTCGAAAAAATATTTCATATGGTTGAGATTGAGATGTATCCTTGTACAATGCACCATTGGATAGAGTTCGACGAGATCTATTCGATGAACTGTTGATTTCATTTGACACAGGTGTGAGAGTGAATATTTTCGAGAAAGACTGTGAGAAACCGCCTGAAAAACGAGCTTTGGAAATATTTCGTATGGTTGACCTTGAGATGTACCCTTCAAAGATACACCATTGGATAGAGCTCGACGAGTTCTACCTGGCACAGATAAAATTTATGATAGCACAGTTCTCAGTGCGAATGTTTTGTTAAAATGTGAAGTTTCATGTATTTTTTCCGAGAGGGAAAAACTGGTACTCTGTTGTTTAAAACTTTTTGGGATATTATGCATTAAAGCTGAACATGTCAGCGGATGGAAAGTTCTAAATTGAGTCTAGCACAGTAATGCTCGAAGTTGGCATAGTTGTCAGACTGAATGTTTTCGTAAAATAGTCGAATCTGCTGCTAACTTCACCTACGTAAATTAAAGTATTTAATAAAGGAACCCTAAAAGGATTAGTTCTAACAATTCCCTTAGAGGCTCAAACCCTACCTAATTCTATATCCACAGAAAAAAACAAAATCAAAGTAGCATAGAAAAACAACACAAAAAAAGATACAAAAAATATTACCTCAGATAAAATCAATAAAATCATTCCTATACTAAAAAACTTATCATTAAAACTGGAATGGTCTATAGCCGTTTCTCTCTCACGATTTACATCTTTAAATCAAATCACTATTATTAATATAAACAATAATAACATAAACATCATATTTTTTCTATTAAATTTTGCTAACATATAAAAATTAATAAAAGAAAATATAACTACAATAGCAAAAAGAAATGGTCAAGAACTTAATTTTAACAAATGAAAAGCATTTATGATGTATTAACTATTCTTTAGCTTAAAAAACTAAAACTTTAAATAAGCTATATTAATAACTACTAAAATCTAATAAAGAAACAGATTCAACCACAATAGGTATAAATGAATGATTAATCACCCAAAATCATTAGATGTATTTAAAGCACGAATCAATTCTTGAGATGGTAATAAAACACGATTATCCACATCTAATAAACGAACTACCCTATTAAGATCAATATATGAATCATACTCAAACTCCACATTGCTATCAATCTTATATCTTCAATATCATTGATGACTGATTACTTTTAAAGTACAAAGAAAATTAGTTCTATTCTCATCAGTTAAATACAATAAATAAATAGATGAGTAAACCAATAAAATCAAAACTACAATCGGTAAAACAGTTCAAATACTTTCAATTGAATGATAAGCAATAATATTAGAATAGTACTTTTTTCCAAAAAGAGAATAAACTACTAAATAACCCACTACAACTGAAATTCTAACTACAATCATTATTCCCTTGACTGAAAGTCTTGGGTCATACAAACGAAATGTCCGTCCGTCCGACCGTCCGCAATAGGCGAGCGACATCGTCGTACGCGTCCTCCCGAGCGTTAGCGACAAAAAGAAACACGTAATTACTACTTTTCTCAACAGCAGGACATCCTAGATCTGCGAGCCCTGAATAAAAAGTGTCAGAGATTTAATTTCACATATTTTATCTGCTGGCACCAACTTCGTGGCGATCTGTAATCGCGGACTGTTGGGAATGCGTTATGTGGGCGTTGGTTTAGTGGCTTTTTGTGCATTTTCCATGTTTTACCCATGGGGACTTACTTATGTACCTATGTTATGACTTAGTTATATACTTATGTTATGACTTATTTTATAATAAAGCTGATGGGCGATATGTACTTTTAAAAAATAGTTCAAATAACTCTATTTACTAATAAATTCATCTTTCTTTTAAGTTAGTAATATAAATAATGCAACTGATACACCCTAAAAAATTTATGTGTATCTGAATCAAAATAATTTAACTCTTTATCATCAAACATACAAAATTAAGCATTTCTAGGTATAAAATTAGTGGAAAATCTAATTAAGATACAAGTTTCTTTATTTAATTTAAACTGTCAATTATATAAATTTTTAATCACTCCTACCTATTTAATTAACAGTGTCTCTAAATCTGCTCATTTAACATTCTATAATTAATAAAACCAAATTTCACCTAAAATCTAATAATCAATATAAATATATAAATTAACAATATTATTCGTATAACCACGGATGCTGGTACGCTATTAACCAAAATAAAATAAAATCATTTATATCTCTTTTTACAGTACAATAAAATACTCATATAGTATAAATTAAATATTAGGAATATCAATCCTACAGTTTATCAGTTTACATTTATAGATCAATCTTAAATTTAGAAAATTTATAGTAATATTCTACTCTAAACTACCTTATGGACGAAAACAATACATGCTAAACACTAGAAAACATAACATTAAACTTAATTTTTTCAAAATCACACTTTAAAGCTTACGTTATAAATAAAAACAAACAATAAAACAAAATTCACCAATTTAACATATACAAAGACTTAAAATTAGTTAAAAAACTCACAAAATTAGAAGTAATAAAATAAAAATTTAAATAAATAAATAAATCTTTGAATCACATAAAAATTTTTAATTAATATTAATACCTGATAAGATACTAAAAAGTAATTTAAAAACTTGAATTAACAATAATAATAACACTATAAAAATAACAAAATATGCTAAAAATTTAAAAGAAAAAACTTCATAGCTCAATATTAAAAAATTACTAACATGATAATTTTTAAAAAAGACTATAATAATAACTATTAAAAATAAACTTAGAGAATAAATATTCAAATTAAAATAAGAATACTCATCAGAAGAATACAAAAATAATAATTTTAAAGAAAAATAAACCCTATCCTCTAATATTACTAATAAAAGAAAAGATTCTAATATAGAAATACCACTTTTTAACAAGTTCTCTATAATAAAATCTTTAGAAAAAATTCAAACAAAAATGGTAAATCTAAAAGCCTACGACAAGAAAAATAATATAATTTTAAAAATAGGACTAGAATAACCTAAAGAAATAATGAAATTGACTTGATTATGAAAAGATATAAGTATAACAATCCGAAAACCCATAAATAGCATAGATTTAAATATTGCATGAATATTTAAATGAAAAAAAGCAACTTTATATTAACCAACTGACATTAAAAATATTATAATGGAAACATGATTTACTATAGAATAAGCAATAAGTTTCTTTATGTCTGACTCATAAATGAACCCTAAAACGCATAATAACAAATACATCAACTACAACTACACGTTGAAGAGTGAACAAAAGCAGAAATAGGTGTGGGTGCACTCATAGCTGATAAAAGTCAAAATCTAAAAGGAAACTGAGCACTTTTAACACAAGCTCCTCAAATTAATAACCCCAAACATAAATAAGTAAAAAATCTTAAAGGATGGGGGGCGATAAGAGGCAAAATCGGCCCCCTGTCAGATCAAGCTCATATTCACAAGTCTAATGTAGTTTTCCTCCGTGATTAAAACTAGTACTCCAAAAAAACCATTTTCGGCCCCCCGCCCTGAAAAAAATTCCGCATCCAAACTTTTCTCCTTCAGTTGAACTTTATTTACGGTATTTTCCCCATTTCTTCCCTTTGCTCAAAGCAAACCTCAACTAGTGTGTATCAATCAATAGAGAATTTTACGGGCTACAAAATGATATATAGAATATTCAGAACAAATGGGGTCTTGGCGCCCTAACACTAGAAATACTTCTGGAGAGGGATGTTTTCGGCATCGATGGATAGGCTAAGTCCATATAGAACCCTTTACATCAACCGTTCACGTTAGTGACAAGACCTACCTCATATTATAGAGCTCACCAAGCTGAACCGAACGATGACAATCGCAAGTCTCCAGTCTTGTTAGAAAAGAAGCTACACGGCCTCTCTACGCGTACCATCCAAAACACGTAGGTCCGTAACATTTTGTAAGAGTCATGGTTCTTTAGCTGATCAATGTGCAGAATTGGGGAACGTCTTATTTTGTAGCTAAAAGATTTTTCTTCGAAATAA